CCTGAGCCGGTGAGATTTGAACCGCTGAACTGCTGATCTAGCAGTAGCCTGCAGTGCTGCATTTAACCACTGCGCCACCTTGGCTCTTAAAGGGCAGGGGGCGGAGATGAATAGATGTGGCAGAGGAGAGGAGAGCAGTGGAAATCTACGGGCTGGTCCTTGGGACGAAAGAGCCACCGCTGCTAGTGAAGTCCCCTCTAACTCTGGGGGTACAAGGCAGGGGGCGGAGATGAAGAGATGTGTCAAACAACTATTCATCTTCCAGCCAGCACTTCCTTTTTGCCGGGGCTGCTGAAACTCATAATAAAGGAATCATGGATTTAACTATGGAGGGTTTGTCATTTTTGGGGAGCCGGGTCAGACTCAGAACACAGCTGGCCCGAATCTGCAAAGGTGAAGTCAGGAAAGTTAAGGCTTTGAACGAAATGAGACTTGCGACCAATGTCAAAAACAACTGACAAAAAGTTTCTTCCGACACATAATAAAACAAGGAAAAAGTCAAAGAAGCAATCGGTCGACTGATAAGAGAAGATAGCAAAGAAGTAACGGGCAGTTGAGAGAAAGCAGAAGGGCTTCCTTCACCCTTCACATGAAAAGAAAACGCTACTCAACTTACCTGTCTGTAGAGATTCTCCGTCCTCCAGGTGTTTTTTTCAGGAGGCAACTGGACTTTCTCGTTTGTTTTTTCCCCAAAGACATTTCGCTTCTCATCCAAGAAGCTTCTTCAGCTCTGACAGGATGCTGCCCTTCCCCACTATCCTGTCAGAGATGAAGAAGCTTCTTGGATGAGAAGCGAAACCTCTTCAAAAGGAAAAAAAACCCAAGAAAGTCCAGCTGCCTGCTGGAAAAGCACCTTTGGGATACTCAGCTTACCAAAAACAGAACTTTCAACGGCAGGTTAGGAATTCAAATTCAAATAGGCAAAAATAAGGTTAGAGAACAACTCCCAATTGCCGCAGGAGAAGCGGCTGCGGGACAACAGTTACCCTAATATCTGACAAACGGAGGCCTTAAAGAAAGGATGCAAAAGGAGGGACAGACTAGAAAGGCAAACGACAAAAGTTCAAGCGTTGTTGTTGATTGATTTTTATTTTTTAAATTGATTTTAAATAATTAATTTGAAATGGTGAAATTGTCCCCGCAGCGAGTTGGGCCTTGGCGAGTTGCCAGCTCCCTAATCATCTTTGTTGCCCTTCTCTGCACTCTTTCTAGAGCACGGATGTCAAACTCACCACGTCATGTTGCCGTCATGTGACATTTTGGGACGTTTTCCCCTTTGCGGCGCTGGGGTGGGCGTGGCCTGCATGTGACACATCTGGCCTGTGGGCCGCCAGTTTGACATCCCTGTTCTAGAACTTCAATATCTTTCTTACATCGGGGCAAGCAAAACTGGATGCCATATTCCAGGGGTGTCAAACTAGATTTCATGGAGGGCTACATTGGGGCTGTGTTTGACCTTGAGTGAGGGGCAGAGTGGGCGTGGCCAGGATAGACATGGTCAGCTCAACGTCACTCGTGTTGGGGAGCCTGTGGTGGCCCAAGCCCTCTGCCAGAGAAAATGAGCTCCTGAGCTCCGTTTTCTGCTGTGACAGCCTCCTGCAATCCTCTGCTAGCAAAAAAGGAGCTTGGGAGAACCTGTGTGCGATCCTCCCGAGCTCTATTTTCACTGGCAGAGGCACTGTGGGTCAGTCCTTCACTATTTCCAGGGCAACCTCGTAGACCACATCTAAGCACCCCATGGACCAGATCCAGCCCCCGGGCCTTGAGTTTGACACCCCTGCCGTATTCCAAGTGTGGTGCTTACCAAGGCCTTATAAAGTGTAGTAAGACCTCAATTACCTTTCAGGACTTCGCAGTTGGAGCGGCTGTATACACCTTGGGATTCCAATCAGATGGTAACCCCCTTTAGGTCATCATTGATACGTTTAATATACAAAGATCTTTCTAATATAAAATGGTCACTACATACAATTAGACCAAAGTGTTCAAATCATCCCACTCTTATACATTGAGATCTATTGTACTGCTCTATATCATAATAAGAAAAAAAACTTTCATAAAAATAACTATAATTTTCTATTACTGCATAAGTAAACAGTTTCATTCCCAGGTTTTTTTATCTAACCATTGGTAAAACAAGTCCCATACTTTATAAAATTGCTTGTCCTCTCGTTCTCTAATTTCAAATGTAAGCTTATTCATTTGGGCACATTCTATTATTTTCTGAATAGTTTCCTCCTGTGATGGTACTTTTTCGTTTTTCCAATTTTTGGCAAATAAAATTCTAGCAGCTGTTAAAACATTTATAATCAGATATTTCAAGTCCTTATTGTATGTTTCTGGTATTATTCCCAATAAGAAGAGTTCTGGTTTTAAGTCTATGTGTTTATGTATCATTTTCTCCAACCACATGTGGATCTTAGTCCAATATCTTTTAGCTTCAGTACAAGTCCACCACATGTGGTAGTATGTGCCCAGCGTCTGATGACATTTCCAACATTTTTCGGATTTATTCTTGGACATTCTTGCAATTCTCGTTGGGGATAGGTGCCACCTGTAAAACATCTTATACAAATTCTCTTTATATGCAGTTGACATTGTC